GCTGATCCATCCTGCATGAAGAGACAGTCAGCAGTTCCCTACCCCACACATGGATATGAACAAAATTATTCTCCAAAATGCTGCGGGATTCTCTTCCTCACCACCACCACCACCACCACCACCACCACACACACTCATAAACACACCCATATGGCCTGCGTGGTCCCTAGAGGAGGACAGTCCCTCCAGCGTGAGAGTGACCTTCTAGCCAGCCTCAGTGTTGGGATGACCTTCCCGCCCAAATAATTACAACAATTAATCAATTAAATGCTGAGGCAACCACAACTCCACAGCTCCATAACCAGGGCTCACGTGCATGTGTGTGCACCTCATTACCTCCAGAGTCCTACACAACACACACACACGCTCACACACTCTCACACATACACAACCCTGCAGTTGCCATGGGCGACAGAGGCGTGAGCGCTAGGGTGTGGCATGCCCTGTCTCAGGTGGCGCAGGAGAATGATGACAGCTGACAGCTCACAGTGTGACACCCCCCAAAAAATCGTCCCCACCTCCACTCCCCCTCGCCAGCCGTCTCGTTCTCCCTCCCTCCCTCTCTCTCTCTCCCCTCTCTTCACATCTTCACATCTCTCTCTCTGTCCCTCTCCCTCTTTCTCACCCTCTCCCATGCATGCTGATTGTGGTCCAATAATAGAACTAGCACCTGTCTGGATAGCTCTACATTTATGAAAATCACTATGTGGGCTGCTTGTTTTCCTGTATGTTTTTATTTGGCTCTCTCATTGTGACTAATTTAGTTTTCTGTTTTTATTTGTTACTCAAGCTTCTTTGAGAACATCTTTCTAAATGCCAATATATTGCACACGTTTATTTTTTGACTAAAAAAATCTATAATTTCGGAATGTGGTTTGAGAGACATCTAAACAGAATCACTGATATACTGGACTGTATCTGGCTCTTCAAAGCAATATTTCATGCAACCTTCAATTTGGTATTGACCATGGACTGGTTCTTCAGAAGGCCATACCAGTGTTTTTGCAGGTATCTCTTTTACTACAAATCATGTGTACTTTCTGCTGAATACTGCTCATCACTGCTCAAACAAACTTTTAAAACTTGCTTGTTGTGTAAGTTGTGTCATTCATCCCACCAAACATCATGTCTGCATCCCCCACTACTGTTACATGATAATTCAGATTGATTTGTCGCAACAATTAGATAACTAGGACAAAAATAAAAGCAGACTTGAGGTTCACTGCACATAACGCAGCTGTAGCAGCTTCCATTTATTTGTCATACCATATGGAAATTAATTGAATCCAATTGATACTTGGAAGGAAGAAAGGAAAATTACATTAAAAAATCTCAATCAATACAGCATGTTTTGCTGCAAAATCACTTAAGGTAAGTTCTTTAAAAAATACTTTTCTTTCAATAAATATGGATAAAATGATACATTAATGTTTTATTACATAAAATTAATGATATGTCCAAGTTAACACATCATCGTCACTTATTCTTCTTTTCAGATGGACAAGGAAGGCAATTGGTTCAGTTGACAAACCTAGTATTATCAAAGAAAGAAGTCAGAGAAAATCAATTTCACATCGACAAAAAGATTCAGTATTAAGTCATTTTTGTGAATTAATTCCTAACCCCTAAAGCAAAGCTTTTTTGTGTGTGTATGTGTTGCACATCTAGCAGTTTCGCAGCATCTATAGCCTCAGGAATAAGGCCTTACTGTATTTTAAGAATCCCCTCTCCTCTCTTCTCACATCTCAGCCTCTCCTCACAATGCATCTAGCATTTTTTTCTTCTCTTTCTCTTCTTTAGGATACGCAAATCATTTTCAATTTTGGTAACAAGTTAAGGGATTCAGTGACAGATGTGTGACTTAGCTCTTAAAATGAAAGCACACCTTAAGCGCAAACAATTAGTCATTGCAGTTGTTTGTGCTAGAAAAATATTCTGCCTGAGTCAGAGGGTTTCATGTTTTGTGCACCCAATACCTTCTTACACAAACTTAATAAAATTAAATGAGGACACCTGTTCAATGAGCTCACCTCATCTCCCTTTTGTCCCGACTAAAACACACAAAGCTGTAGGCCCGGGCCAAGGCAGCAGGTGTCTAGATCCCTTTCCTCCATCTGCCCTCGTCATCTTTTCTCTGGCTGACATTTCCTTACTAATACAGTAAGTAGGGTCCCTGAACCTGATACACAAGGACTGCTTTTCTTAACCAATCCATTCAATAATGAAACCTGCGTCCATTAATTTCACCTGTATTTCATTATTTTTCTCCTTCTGTATCTCTCTCCTTTTCTGTGTTTTTGCTGCTTGCTTTATGAATAAGTAAATGCAGTATTTGGTTTCCCCGTCGTTAATTATTGAAGCGACAGTGATACAAGACTTGCCTCCCAGTGCGCCCAGTGCACCAGACCCATGTTTTAGCTCGTTCCTAGGCAACCAGGCTGCGTATAGTCAGGCATCAGTAACATCCTAATGATTCTGCTGCGCATGCGATGAGGGGGAGTGCAATTTACACACAAATCAGTTGGGCTACCATTTGCATCCTGTCACAAGGCTTAAGAGAATGAATATGTAATGTTTTTTTTCCTCTCTCTTTCATATCTTGGAGGAACGTGTTTTAAATGACAATGCTATCACAACAGTTGCCTCTTATTGGAGCTGTTTACATGGTTGGGTACAAGGACATGTTGCCACACAGGGCTTATTTGACGGATTTTAATGGGTAGAGGAATGGCTAAACAACATTTTCTTAGAGGTCAGCAAATGTTAAACAAGCTGGGGTCAAAGCATAAGAAGTACAAACCTGAAGCGACCTTGACTGGATTCGAACCTCCGCCAAATAGACGTGTGATGACTGTCATCATTGCACCAAACATTTACAAGCTGTCAAGCTGGTTTTAAACACTCTATGAGAAGCACAGTGGGCATTGGGGATTTTCGCTGGTATTGACGGGAGGGAGAAGGGTCAATCAGAGAGTAAATAAAAGATTGAAAGAATTGGCTCGGCCACAACAGCCGAGGCTACTCAGTCGATCCTGGCTATTGATCTGCAGGTAGATGGCATCAATGAGAAGCAGGGGCTGTTTAAATGAAGAACTGAAATGAAGACTTGATAGGAATTATTTGTCCTTTAGCTTTGACTTGTTTACAAATTAGGCTTCAGCCCACATTAGCGGCCTGTGTGTCAGGTGACCAAAGTGAGAAGTGATATGTTCTCCAGAGGGTTTCTTACTGCAACATTTAATTTAGCTGAGGTACAAAGTAGCATCAGTAACACTGGTAGTCTAAAGATCCGAAGAATCCAATATTATAAACCTCATCTCTGTTTGGGATGGTCACACATATGACGCAAGGTTAAATTTCAACAATGTTGACAGAGAAGTCTAATCCAGTCTTGGCTCCTTCACAAGTTAGAATAGAAGAAAGACAGGGTCTAAGGTTCAGTCAATTATGAAAAAGTAGAACAGTGTAAAAGCAATGGATGGAATCAGACAAAGACTTGGGAGATTAAACCTCAGACTTTAAGGTGAAAGACTCCCCACAATTTGGACAAGGACATCGGCTTTGGTTCCACTGGGTTCCAGTGACAGTGGCGGCTGGCATAAAGCATTATTAATGACCAAGGAAACTGGCCTTCAGGCTAGGCGTTAATTATATCACTGGAGAGCTGGGGGAGAGAGAGCGAACACACGGGAGGGCGGGGCCACTCCCTGTGTTGTGTGTGTGTGTGTGTGTGTTTTACATTGTTAAGCCATTACTGTCCTCATTTCTAAGGGAAGCCTGGTTGAATGGTGGTAATAGATTGTGTTACATTGTGAAGCCAGAAACACGCCATCCAACAGCCTTTCTGAGACCCCATCTGATTTCTGTAATTGTGTTTTTTTTCTTACTCATGTCACATGTGGAACAAAAATTGGCAACGCCCATTTATACAAATGAGATCAGGGTGGAGGGTGAGCCCACACAGTTACAGCTCAGTTCAGTTCAGTTCAGAAAGCACAGATCAGTTCAGTCAAGCTAGCATGCCCTTGAACTACCTGTCTCTCCTCTTTACCAAATAGTCCATTAATATAATTTCACTTTACTTAATTTATTTAATGAAAATGTATGCTCTGATTCAGCATTTCACATTTCTCACTAATCTAAATGTGAGTTAACTGGAGAGATAATTTTGTTAGCTACAGGCTACTGTTTTCATCATTAAGCCTGTCTTAATCACCACCATCCTTTCTGTACACTGGCACAGATTCACAGCCTAGTGCTCTGCATGCCATGTGCAGGGGGTGCGTTTTTGATGCCTGGCGCCTGCATGTGACAGGTCCATCGACCGTGAGCAACCCTCCACTCCCCGCCGTCTCATAGCATCTGTGGCATTGGTCTTTAAAAGGCCAAGGGCCACTCACTGTGTATCGCCTTCAACGCAGCTTTATGTCAACCCCCCTTACGTTCATAGTGTGACTCCAAATCTGGGGCTAAAGAGAGAAACGCTGGTTTAATGTGGTTGAACAGGACACCAGACAAGTTTGTTTACTAGAACGGCGCCTGATTATACTATGGGTTAAACAGGATGGAAGGATGTCAACTGTACAGTGTCAACATGTGTAGTAAAGAACAGCAAGTTGATTGAATTGTATAACAGTAACAATCAGCTCTCATCTTTGGGTTTTGGACTATACAAAACAAGCAATATGAAGAAGTCATCTTAGGTTCACAAATTTGATGACTTGAAGTTTTTTGTTATATAATTTAAAAAAAATAGAAAATCTTTGGGTTTTGGACTATTGGTCTGACAAAACAAGCAATTTGAATATGTAATCGTGGGCTCTAGGAAATTGTCCTCTAGCATTCTCTGATAACTTATTCTGTTCACTTCCACCACTTTGTCATCAGTTAAAACTAAAGATCAAGGTTTGTTGAGCCTTACTCTTCCTTTCTGAAACATCCATTACCACCAACCAACATCTTTCCAATGACTAACTTCAGCTCCTTTCTCCACACACCAGTGTTCAGGGAGCCCTACACAGTCCGTGTGGCCGACCAGCGCTCCATGCGGGGTAATGTCGCCGTGTTCAAGTGCCTCATCCCCTCAGCTGTCCAGGAATACGTCAGCGTGGTGTCCTGGGAGAAAGACACTGTCTCCATCGTCCCAGGTAGGAAATTCAGGCAATGATATTCATTAAAGATCTAAGTCAGTCTGCAGACAAAACCAGGCCCACATCCACCTTGTGTTACTGTCCAAATCTGCCTCTCTCGCTGAAAGGTACTGTCACTGCAAACTCTATTCAGTTGACCGTGTGGGTTACATTTGGCTGAGTACATGCTCACTGTGTTTGATCAGGTGGTGGATAATAATGGAAAGCAAATGATCTAATGTCATAATATGTCAGTAGACTCCGGAACATTTGCCTTTAGAGAAATGAGAAATCTCTCCTGTTATTTTTAGCCTGAATAAATCCCAAACCGCAAATACAGTCAGTCAGTAATGTAAAAATGTGATTTTCTTTCAGATTCTATTGTAATGAAGATTTTCTCCTCCTTTGCCATGTTTGTGATTGTTAACAGCCCTTAATCGATACTAATCAATCCAAATGTGTCACTGACATTTCCTATTTTGTCAGTGAGAGAAGATGGAGAAGGATTAAAAAAAAATAGTGCAATCATTCAAAAAGAAGTCTGATTAAATGGCCTTTGCCTGGCTACTTGCTCACTAACTGACACTGCTGTGGTTAATAGCTGCGTTACAGGGATAAATCAGACATTAGTAGACATTTGCTGTATGTGTGTGTGAGAAGGACAGAGGGGTGTGTGTGGGCTCGGGGGATCTAATTTGATGAGTGATAGATCTGTTTAGCTGCTTATCACAGTCACCGAAAAGAGAGCAGCCCCACCTCGAGGGCTCTGCTATGTCTGGAGCTGTTCTCTGTGCTTCATCTGATCCTCTAGTCAAATCATGATGTTTAACGGAGGAATAATATTATCAGTTTGAAAGTGAGCCTCCTACATGCTGCTGTATGTTGTGTCTGTGTGTGCTGTGTTTGTGTGTGTGTGTGTGCAGGCTTGTGCAGTACAGTGTTAACATTTGCTCCGTGAAGCAATGGCAAATTGCAGGGTGTCAGATGAGACTGTTTAGGTCAGATGATACGTATTGCTCCCTCTGCCCCTTATCTCGCTCTCTGATACCGAGTGCCCCTTTCATCTCTCTCAATAGCGTGTGTATAGAGGTGTGTGTGTGTGTTTGTGTGCGTCTTTGTATGGCTCTGTCCTTCACACGGGGGCACTCATTGATCCAGCACAGCTGTAGTGTGTGTGCGTGTGTGTGTGTGGCCTGAGGGGGGTTTCCAGTCTGGATCGATAAAGCTTGCTGTTGGATTCCCCTCTCTCTTGTCACAGATCCCTCAGTGTGAGAGTGTTGAGAACGGGCCAGCCTGATGGCAAAACATGCATATATGAACAAGCAAGAGCATGTGTGTGAACATGTACATACATACATACACACACACACACACACACACACACACACACACACATATTCACATGAGCAAGTTTCTCTGGCTAAGCTGATCAGGATAAGTCATCCATATGCTTTAATAAAAAAGCTGTGATATAATTTGCCCTATGAACATATGATCATACTGCAATACAGTATGTTAAACTGAGAATATTATTGTCAATTATTTCTTATAAAAATAAGTTGAGTCTTCATAAATTTTGATCATGTGCAGATGTTCAGAAATGTGCAGTATATTCATGGAGTAGTATGAAACACAATTTAGAGCTAAAATTAGTCGATTAATCAACTTTCAACAGAAAAATAATTGGCTATTCTATGAATTTTTTCACTTTTATATTATATTATTTTTCGAGCAAGAATGCCAAACTCTCGTTCTACCTTCCCAATGTGAGGATTCTGTTTTATATGATTGTAAACTTAATATTTTTAAATTGTAATGGGCATTTATTTTAACATTATTTGACATTTTATGGACAAAATTATTAATCAATAATTCCAGAAAATAATCCTTATGAAAATAATCGTCCTGCAGTACACCCTCTGAATTTGCATTTGAAAAGGTTTGAGAGCCTTTTTGTTTTCGATCTTTGTCTCTCTCTCTCTCTCTCTCTCTCTTTCGCTTTCTTTCTCCAGGGCTGATGAATAGGTCTTATTAGTAACACAGTGCTCCTCTTCTTCTTTCCGTCCATCTTTGGCTCGAAGCCTCCTCTCATCTCTCTCCCTTCCTGGTACAGACTGGTGGCCTGTGTCAGCATCATGGCCACATACACAAATGCACATACCCACACACAGAGTGCACGTGTGCACCCCTCCCACCCCACTGCACTCCACCACACACCTCATCCATCCATCCATCCATCCACTCCATCTATCAGCTCCTAGTGGCATGTACAGCTTTCTCTCTTTCGATAGCACTCGAGATGCTCTAGTGGTTTGCCATTTATTAGGAACAGTGTATGCCAAGGTATTGGCTTGACAGGGTGACACATGTCACACAGACGGCCGTGTTGGTCAATAAAGCTGAGTTTGAATGGGCTTTGATGAAGAGGCAGGAGGGTGTTTGCTGACAGCTGGCCTCACTGCGAGACGACCCTGCCTGGGTGTCGTGTCACTATTTGACAGCCAAATCTGTTTGCGTTGAGGCCCGTTCATGGAGCAATGTGGGGTGTGGGGGGGGGGGGTGGTAGACAGATAGACAGCCAGACAGTCAAACAGAGACTGGCTATCCTGGTTTTTTCTCCCCTGTCATACCTCCCCTTCTCCTGCTATCTCTCTATCTAGCCATGTCTCTCCCTCTAATTGATGGTTTGCTGGTGTTGCCGTTGGTTAGAAAATTAGCATTTGTTTGCTTGTCAGTTAAGGAACTGAAAGAGGATGCTCTATTGACGGATGTGTATGAAGGAACTTCATCTGTGTGTGTGTGTGTGACTTTGTTAGTATCCATCTCCTCCTCCAGTTGGAGCTTAAAACAGTGTGAGTTTTATCTGGTCACCATGGTAACGGGTGCGAACCGGCGGGCAGAATGAGGAAGGTGTGAGGATACATTGCTGCCTGATTTTTATTAGTGCATCACCACGGCTCAGCTCCGGCACACTCGTGCACACAAACACACA